TTGGAGTACCAAGTTTTGAGAAATTCTCGTGCCTGTTAGCTATGGAGACAGCTTTAGTACCGTCTCAATTTAAACTGCGGTCGTCGTCGACCTGTGTAACCAATATACCTGCAACGGCAGTTAACGCAGGAGCTGCAGTAAATGACCTTAGTTTGCTGTTGCTTGAATGTAGAGCCCTTCACCCAGGATAGCCCTGCACGTAAGGAGGACGCTAGCTTTTGCACGGCGCAGATAATAAACCGGTTTAGTTGCTCGGCGATCATTTTAGTAATTAAGTCCATGTAAAGCAAATAATAGCATCTCCTCTGTACCACTTCTCCACCAGAACTCTGCTCCTGTGATTACCTCCGACTTCTGGGTCAATTTTTCACAGAACTTATCTTATATCCATTATATTGGAATAATTGAGATAAGTAGACTAGCTATCTTCGAAGTAGATACTCACAGCTACAGTACCGAAAGGACCAGTGAAAAGGAGTTTGAACCCAGCGTATTTTGTGGGCCTCATGATGGTTGCTCCCATAGTTGTGGATAGTTTCAGTGCTGGAATCTTTTCCGAGGACGCTGGTTGTGGTATTGTTATCACCCAGTCTTTGCACACTAGCGTCGAGAAACGGGAGGGTGTCTCCTGCTGTTTCTCCGCACCCTATCTCTTGTGTTTGCGTATGCTCTTGATTATTAGAATACGGGAAAGCGTCCGCTGCGACCAGTTGTCTATCTGCCTGATGTTTCGAACTCTCACATGGGCCCATTTTCAAGGGATAACAGAGTGTACAACTCGCTGCATATTTAGCTCGGCTCTGCCTGGAGTGACCTTGAGCTCTACCATCGATTTTTTCGCGCAACGCCAGATAGGCATCCGGAAGATCGATATGCCTGTTAATTGAATCCGCGAGCGAGTGCCATGCCTTTCGCAGCAGGCGTGAGATTTGGTCATCTGACTGACCTAGCGTTCGAAGTTGAAATTGTATCCTGGCGTGGATGCGTGAACAGCTACCAAGGAAAGCTTGGCCTTCCGTCGTACGACGAGTTCGTGCTCGTGTAGTCTCGTGAGAAAACGTTTGCCGCTCTTGATTATGACTATAGTTTCGGTTGTGGCGATGCTAAAGTTTTCACCCTGGCTAACAATAAACAGCTACGATAATTCATCGAAACTTGGCATTCCATTACGGACATCAATTTTTGTGGTTGGAAGGATTCTATTCATAGAGTTTGCTAGTAGTAGCGACAATGGTAATTTGTCTTGAGATGAGTTACAAATCGACCTTATTGACATTGCACTGGGTCCGTGGAGGTTCAATGAGGCCTAACGGTACCCTAAGCTTCCGTTGCTTGTGCACAAACGATGGCAGGGATTGGATGCTGGTGTTATTGGTCCGTAGCAGCTGAATATTGCGGATCGCTCTCTTTGATTTTGACCATTCGGTTGGCCTCGAAGATAGTTGCCCCCTTTGTACGGCAAGGCGCTTTGCCTCTAAATCCTGGGCGAGGTCCTCCCAGGTCTTCTGGTCGATTTGCAGGTACTTGAGTAATTTTTTCAGGGTATCCTTTTGGCAATGCTTATGTCCTTTATGTTTTTGACTACCCTCGGCTTTGTTAGCGTAAAATAATTGTTTGGATATGTGTTTTACACGACTAGCCACCCCATAGCAATAATGCCGGCTCTTTTCAGGATCTCAGTGTTTCAGCTCCTCTCCTGCCGCTTCGCTCTCGTCAAAGGCAGCTTAGGCTAAAATATCTAAGTCTTCTTGCTTGGACAGTTCACGTCCTCACCCCTTCAGAAAGGTTGTCAGAACAACAACAACCTTGTATATCCTCAATTTTGTGTTGAGTAAGACACCACGACGGGTACAGACGCAGTACTATGGTCTGTCGAATTATTTTGGACAGCCAACTTGTGATTTTGGCGTCGTCTCTGATGATTTCTGACACCTTACCTCTAAGTTAGACGAAATTCTGCCCTGCTGGGAGATGATTTCCTCGGTGTAGTCAACACCGGGTGCCGACTGGCGTGGGGCCACTTTTTATTTGGTAGAATCCTAGTTTAGGTCTCAGATCAACAGGCGAGAGCCCCATCCTTCTGTAATAGGGGACCAAGTGTAATAAGGAGTATACAGTTCGAGCAATATAAATGAAAGGAAATATAAATAAAATTTATAAAGTTGGAAAAAGCAGGAATGATTATTTAAATGCCCTTCTGTTTTTTCAACAACAAAGTGCGCCATAATCAAAATGTGCAAATATGCGGACATTTGGGGATAATTAATCGAAAAATAACTAACCAAACCTAAAATCAACTAACTAAAAACGTAGGCTAAAGCACGGCGAACTCACTTTACTCTGAAAATAATCTAAAACGTAAATAAAAATAGTAAATATAAAAATGAACTGAAAAGTGAACTTAAATAAAACTGAGTAAAGTAAGTTGTTGCGCATGTAAATTGGAGGTGTGCGCGGCGCTTCGCGCCGCGAACTATACTAATATAACTCCAGAACGGTAAGTTGAATCCCAAGTAATTCGAAGAAAATAACCTCCTAACCACCAATTTTTTTCAGGAATATCAAGAAACCCAATAAACTATAAAGTAAAAGTAAGTAACAATTGTCCAAATTTGTCGCACCCAATAAACTGCAGGTAAGTAATAAATATAAGTAAATTTCTAGGTTTATTTGCAGCGCGTTACCTTGTCGCGTAAAAAATTAGACCATTTAAACAATTTCTGGGACCTAAACCAGGATTCCACCTTTTATTTTTCCTGGTGATGTTCAGACCGAAATTGGAGCAGCTGGAGGCGGAGTGGTCGAAACTCCATTGCTCTCAAGGTTTGGTTTAAATCAGCACTGCGGAGGGATGGCGGAGAGTACAAAGCCTTGCTTCACTCCAATCATCACTGTGTATGCTTCGGAGACCTTCTCGTGGCCCGACGCGGCTATTGTGCGGAAGAATTTCATGTGATAATGTAATCGAAACGGCAGTCATAATTACCACCCACTTCCCACTTACTGCAAGCTTGATGGCTACCTGCAACATTAAATTAACTTTCTGTTTCAAGCCCCAATTGCACGGCATCCTATGCAAAGTGAGATTTACTGCATCTTCAGTCAGCTTTCTGAAAAGATGTGTTGGACGACCTCAGGAATTACCTGCAATTCACAGGCTCCTCGAAATTGGGTCAGATGTCAAACCTAAGAACCTGGCCAGAAGCGAATTAATATCACTTATTGGGGCCGTTTTGTGACAGAAAAG